GCAATCAAGAAGCAAATTATTTCTGTGTTCTGTATTTTCTGGAACAGGTAATTATAATAGGAAATAAGGAACCAACACAGATTAAATATTAGTCTTTGTACTGTGTATAGTTACATGAGTTAGGAAACAAATACATTGTAAGATTTTTTTTACTGTGTTATTTTGTAAACATATTTCAGTGTCTTGCTACAGTTTGCAGATTTTAAATTCAAAATGAATTACAGCTGTGATAACTATGTTACCTCATTTTATTAGAAATCTCCACATTTCATCAGTATATTTTTTCTTGATCTTCCCTGTATCTGCATAAATGTATCTTTTTGTTGTACTTTTATAATCTCTAAAAATAAAATATAACTTAATAACTTAAACCAGTGGTTGCCAACCGGTGGACTGCAGCCCACTGGTGTGCCGCAAGAAAATGTTGGTGGGCCACAGAGAAATCTCACCCCCAGAGCAATTAATTAAGCAATTAATTAAGCAATTAATCCAGACTGCGCAGAAAGACAAGGCCCACATGGCCCGTGGGAACCCTCCCCACCCACTCCCTCTTTACCTGGCAAACCTGCCTGCTAAATTGCTATTTTTCCTTTTTCCGACCACCAGCTGTTCTGCTGTGCCGGGAAATTTAGATTAGCTAGGAATCAGGAAATGGTTGGATTTCTTGCTTTCTAGCTAGTCTTTAGGTTTTTGCTGAACCTCCCTTAGGACTGAAGATTCTATTATTCAGTGCAGACAAATTTTATGTGACAGACTGAGCTAACCAATGGCAGATAGATAGATCTCTGAATGAATCTATGAGCAACTCAATCTGCCTGCCTGCTTTGCCTGATTTTGGGTAAAAATTACTCTTTTTTAAAAAATAAAAAATACAATATTTATATACATAGTGTGTTGTGAGTTAATTTTGTGAGTTTGCTTGCAAACAATTTTTTTGTGACAGACTGAGCTAGCCAATGGCAGATAGATAGATCTCTGAATGAATCTGTGATTCTGTGAACAACTCAATCTGCCTACCTGCTTTCCCTGATTGGGGTAAAAGTTGCTCTATTTTATAAAAAATTCAATATTTATATAAATATTTATAATATTTACATACAAGCCATGCCCACAGAACTGGTTAGTGGTCCCTGGGATCTAAAATTATGAGTTTGGTGGTCCCTGAGGTCCAAAAGGTTGGTGACCTCTGACTTAAACCATTAATCAACAGAAATATGAGCAAGTGTCATTGCAATTTGCAGTGCTAATTTACAATTTGTATCCTATAAAATAACTAAATACTTTTTGTATAACTTGTATAATTTATGTTAGTTGGGTTTACAACATGCTCTTGGGAAATTCTAGTAGTCTGGAGGCTGTTTAGGTGCTTAGATATGGGATATATTATTTTTGCCACCCTAGTCATTAACCTGGTTTCTCTGTCCAAGAACTCCCCCAATGGGTTCAACTGATATTCCCACAATTCTCAGTTAGTATGGGCTGATAGGGATATATAAGAGTTACAGCCGGAAGTATCTGCTGCAAATCCCTAGCATAATTACCAGAATTTAAAAGATTCATATGAAACCATACAAGATCTGTTCAAATGTTTTAGAGAATGAATTGTTTTGCTCTTAAAAGTAGCTGCATTACTCTTGAGGGCTGTATCTCCCCAGTATACTTCAAAAGACTATTTCAGTCACATAGTGGACTAATTAGAAAATATTACTGTAAGGTATCATCAATGTATGCTTTAACCATGAATTGTGTTGAGTATACGTTCTCTATATAATTATACTGATGTTTCAGATGTGAAATATATGCTTCATTTAACTTTGTATTATTTCAGTTTGCTTAAAGGAAACAAAACCAATACACGTAAGGTGAATAAACATACTGGAGCACCTGATACTGATGACACTTATTGAGCAGCATAAAAATGCATTAAATAAATAAGAGAGCTTACTTATTTTCAATCCACATGTCTGTGCTTAAAAAAAAGCTGTGTTCACCATCTGTCATGAACATCAGTTCAAAAGTTTATTGGGATGTGTACTTCTGCATAGCACTGCTCAATATGCTTTAGCAATGTGATGATATATAATGACATGGAAATTTACAAACCCTGTTGATGGGGATCATAATTCTCTAGTGTGTCTAGCAGTATACTGACAGCATATTTTCAGAGTCAACCAATGCACATCTTTTAAAGTCAACCATGTTCAATTGTAAAATACAGAATTAGTATGAAGCTTAGCTTACTATCAGAAAAGGATTTACATATCAAGCAGAACTATATTTTGTTAATTTGGGTTTGTTGAAGAGGTAACTTATGCGCCATTGTACAATAAAACAAACAAATTATATCATGGCTTAATGCCGCAATGAATTTAATATATTTAATACGGTTCTTATTGCCATTTCAAAAATGTGGGAAGAAGTCATTTGGACCTTATATAAACAAACATAGTGCCTTTCTGCTACTCATTAAAGTAAACCCACTTTCAGGCTTTTACACTATCTTGAAAAAATGCAGACTCTTGGAAGAGTTGAGTCATTAAAACCAATGCAACTTTTAAGTACTTGAATATTTCCCCCTCCTGCATGCAGAAGTCAGGGGTGGGGGAACACCAGCCACTTCAAAGAATAGCAGATGTTGGAAGAAAATAGCCTTCTGGGTTCAGCTCCAAATGGAGAAAAAGACACTGGAAACATGGAAGCTGTTTGGAAATATGGTTTAATGGTGGACAGGATCACTTGCCTTAGAGCTCCTGAGCAAAAAAGAGAGGAGATGCTGAGAGTCCCTTGGTTTTATAATCTGTTGGGCTTTGAATTTGAGCTTGTGTTTTGATTGCTTGTCAAGACTCCCGTGGGGCCATTCTATGGGGGCATTTGGTAAGTTTTCTTTTGAGTCCTAGGCTTGGTTGACTCTTGCTGGGTGATGATGTAATGAAAGGGCTTTGGGATTCCTATTATGGGTCTGTCTGAAGGAGGTAGATCTTTGTTATGTAGAATAGACTGGCCCAGGCCTTAATGGCCCATTAGCAAAGGTAGGGGGGCTGAGTTTCTGCCTCTCTGAGTTTCTACTTCTCTTTTAGGGGAAATATTCTGCCTTTTTAATATATTCTAAAATATTTCATTTCTCTGGGCGAGGGGTGGGTTTTAACTTCCAACACAGAAATGTGTTATGCTTACTTCTCAATCGTTTTTGAAACATGCACAGCTATAAAATGAAGTCATTAAGGCTGGATGTCTTCAATTCAATTCCTAAAGCAGTCACAAATCCTCAGATTTGCATCTATAGCCAAAAAAGGGCACACTGGATTTATAGCAGTGTTGGAATATTTTGAAAGTCTAAAAATATTTCTTTCAACTCATTTTTGAAGCAAAATCCATCCAATAAGGAAGTTGTTAGTGAAGAAAATTGTAGCTAAACAAATATGACACCAAATTACATTAGATGGTCTTGTTTCAGCATTGCTATTCTGTTATTTTAGGGTTTTGACTTAATAACAGGATCAAATAATTTCCTTTAACAATCTGCAGATCAATAATAAAGGCAGCCATGTATACTGTATGTTTCTATGTTTAATATACAGATATTTCATAGTAGAGGAAGAAATATAAATTGTTTCTATTCCATTAAATAAAACAATTTGGAAGATTTGTTAGAAGTGATGGCAATGACTTCCCATGTCAAGGTCACTGCCCAGAACAAGACTCCAAATGTACAATATTTGTCTCAATAACTTTTCTGTTTTATTTTTCAACATAATACAATTATTATTTAATACAATACACACAAAATTAAAGAATTGGAATGACTAGTAAAATCTTCTATACAACTAAAGTATATATGCTATGAGTTACATGCTTTTCTTTGTACAATTTTATTCCTGGGATTGTTCTATATTTTCCATTATATTAGCAAACTACCTTGGTAGAACTCAATCATGGTAGTGTGCCACTCTCATTTGCTTAACAAACATATCCAGCTGTGTTTGCACAATGTATTTATTTCTGATGGACTTAACTAACAAATGTTTAGGGTCATATGATATGCACAACCATAAATTAACTATACAGAATGGTTTCACATAACATGCTATGTAAAATAATGGATGGCTAATTTATGGGTTACACAGTACAATAGTCACCTTAATTTTTTAATAGGGCCAGCTCTGGGAAAACCCTTTTACCATTCATTTGCATAAGTGAACACAATGTTTTCTTATGAAGGCCGTTTATGCTGATACCACTTTATGCATAAGTAGACAACTTATCCATGTAATATATCACAGATCAATGTATCAATGTATCAATTCATCATGGATAAATTTCCATAGTTAAGATTCATAATCTTGAGCTGGAAAAAGTGTTTTTCATGAAGAAATTTGTAACTTTAACTTTACTCTGAGTAAGTGCAACTGATTTCACTAGTAGTTGCTGAATGTAACTGTTCAAGGGTGACTGAGCCCTGTCATTGGAAGACAGGTGTCATACAATTTAGTAATAATTTGCTTCCATTTCCATAATTTACTTCCATGGAGACATGTTTCACTGAAAAAAGTCTTACTTTAATATAAACGCGCACATAACTTTACTGTTCTTAAATTCGGGTTCCTCGAGCAGGGACTGTTTTATTTAACGGGTTATTCAGCGAATCAATTAAATGCCTAAAATCCCAGCGAACTGGATGGGTTCAAAAATACCTAACGATGGTTTCTCACAGCATACTTTTTATGAAGTTTCTTCTATGAAGTTCCTACAGAAGAGGCGGCGATTCTTAGTAGAACTCAAGGAATAACTTCCAGAGTATTTGAGATTGTATTTCAGGAATCACGAACTTTAGGCTCCGCTTTACGGTGAGCCTGGAGGACCAGACCGGTGGCAATTGGGAACTTACGAACCGTACTAACTACTCGTCCTCCTCCAGAGAGGACTGTACTCCCAGGCAATACCGTAAGGTAAAGAAACGGTGCAAAAGTGTAACTTCCCCGATTCCCTGTGATTTTGCGACACTTAAGATGGCTGCCTCCATGAGATTCGCGTGCCGCTTCGACACCGGGAAGTCTACTTAGAACAGAGTTTTCACCCCACCCACCTACTTTAAGGAGTTTATAAAGCGGGAGTAGTGCTAATTCTCCTCCGTGGTAGGACGAAGAAGATTCAAAGAAGGAGCGGGGCAGAAACGTAAGGCGCGCATAAATACGAGCGGAGAGAAGCAAAACTACCGGTAGTAAGAGGCTGGAAGACTTGGAGTCGGACTTGATACCGATGATCAAGCCTGTAGTGGGTCCTGCTTGTCTGTTGTACAGATACATTTCGGGGACGGACAAGTGGCAGCAAGAGCCGCGTGGAAGTGATGATGCGCCCCGCGTTGCTGTCACCTTGTGTTAAAAGTTGCTCCCGGGTACTTGTCCCGTTCTGGGCTGAAGGATGTGGAAAGCCCAGGCAGCGGCGATGCCTCTTCTCCAGTTCTCCCTCGCTTTCTTCGGCTTCCTATTGGAGCAAAGTGGTTTCGGAGGCCGAGAAAATTGTGGGCTACCCGACCTCTTTCATGAGCCTCCGGTGCCTCTTGAGCGACGAGCTGAGCAACATCGCCATGCAGATGCGCAAATTGGTGGGAACCAACCACCCATTGCTTAACACGGCCAGGTGAGTGTTCAACTGGTCTTTGTTGGCCGGTACATTTCTAGTAAGCCTTTGAAGTCTTGCCAGGAGTTTTTTATTACATCCAAATGCTCATATTCCCCTCCCCCGACTTGTATTTATTTGACCGAATATAGGATACCTCCTTGTTTAGAATCTGTGTATTGGTCTACCTGTACTGACTGAGTAAACACTGGCTGTCTGAAGTCCTTTCAAATTAGAGTTGCTTGGAATTAACTCTAGAGCAGATGCTACTGGTATGTTGCTTCTGCATGTTTTAGAGCAAAGAGCATTAAGTTAAGCTAAGTTCTTGAGAAGATTACAGTCTGGTGTAGAAGTTCATAGGGAATTAGTTTCATCAAGATTTTCCTGCTGGAGATTTATACTTTTGTGGCCTCTCTTTGAAAAAAAAAAATCAAGAAAATTGTTCACTTGTGATGTGGAGAGTTGGCTCCATGTGTCTTTTTTTTTTTAACCATTGGAACTGCATTATGATCATACTGTTAGTTTGCATGCAGCATGTTATTTACACTGACCCATCTTTTCTACCTTTCTGTTTATTCCTTTATGAAATGAAATAGATGAGATCATGCTTTCTTTTACTTACAAGGGATTTCTAATTATGCTGAGATAAATAGTTTGGAGCAACTACAGGTAGTCCTCAACTTAGGCCCACAACCCAGCTAAAATTTTCTCTTGCTAAGTGAGACAGCCGTTAAATTGCTCTATTTTATAGCCTTTTTAGTTAGAGTTAAGTTAGTCACATGGCGGTTAAGTGAACAAATTCCCCATTGACTTTGCTTGTCAGAAAGTCACACAAAGTGATCACATGATCTTGGGATACTGCACTCATCTTAAATATGGACAAGTTGCCAAGTGTCCAAATTTTGATTACATGGCCATAGGGATGCTGCAAGTGTCGTGTGATAAATGGTCATAAGTCACTTTTTTCAGTGCTGCTGTAATTTGAATGGTCACTAACTGAATGGTTGTAACTCAAGGACTACCTGAATTTTCCAAAAATAGGTATATGATGTTAGTGTTATTACGTTATAAAGGAATTTATCAAACGTACCTTTAATATAAAGAATCAGTAAAAAATATAGGAACTAAGCATAGTGATTTCAAAAGACAGAGAAAAATACTATTTATTACCTAGCTGACACAGGTAAATTCATTTTATGAGGCTTTTAAAAAAGTATTAGTGTGCCAAATATATTTTGACTTTTTTATAGGCTTCAGTGGCACTTCTATACACTTGGATTAACTTCTCAGGAAGAACCATGAAACATAATATCAAGAGTATTTTGCTTCAATGAATTGAATGTCTTGGTATTAAATTTGGATGTTGTGTCTTAGTACATTCTAAGGAATTTGATTTAAAGATATACCACTGAAAATTAAAACTTTGGTGATGCTAAGTAATTTGTTAATATAACAATTTTGAAAAAAAAAGTTTTATTTGATTCAGTATAATTGATTAAAAGATAGCTGATGACCCAATGAATTTGTCCTTCTGTTCCTTAGTATATATTTCCTTTTGTCAGTTAAAATATGTAAGCACCACAGAATTCACTATTTCCCCCCCATCCCTTGTAATATCTTAGGTGGAGAAGTGTAGTGTTCTCAGCCAGTAATGATCGAAGGCTAGCCATACAGAGATTTTCAGGATCTATTCAAGTAAAGCAAAAAAAAAAAAGATACAATTAAGAAAATGTAAACAGTTATTGGAGGGCACTAATTGTAAAGTACTTGCTCCTCCCCCAGTCAGGGAGTATGTTGTGGCCTGCCGGCAGCTGATAAAGCTGGCAGCAAAGTTGGACAGCGAGGAGGTTGGAGAGGAACCTGGGCCAATCCTGGAGGCTGAGGAATCTCTGGACAAGGGATCTGTGTCAGAGGCAGAGATGGGGCCAGGGCAGGCTGGCAGTCATCAGCTGTCTTTGGGCTCGGACAGCAATGAGGCAGGGGAGCTTCTGGAACCGGTTCCCAGCCTGCACATACGCAGAACTGCCAAAAGGAAGGAACAATTAAGAACTCAGGATCGACATGGGAGTCAGGCCACAGGTGGATGATGAATGGCCCCTCCCATAATGATTAAAAGAGAAGCAAAAGGGAAGGGGGCTTTTGCAGGAAACAATTTGTATGTTCGTTCGTTTCAGCATTGTGAAGATTTGTCTGTGTAACCTAGGACTTTGTGCCCAGCCCTTCCCTGTCACCACTATGTGTGGAAATATTTACCGGGCAGCTTTCCAAGATAGATAAGGTCTGAGCCAATAATTTGCAAGACTGTTTGTCAGGCTGTTGGCTGAATGTGAATGCAATAAATTCACATTCATTTAATAAAAGAGGTTTTGCCAGGACTCCGAGTTTGCTTACTGCTTTTTGGGGAAGCCTAGGGCAGAACAGAGTATTTTTTTTTGTTGGTTTGCAGTTTTCCCATGTTTTTTGGCAGGAGATTTAGGATGTGCTGGTATGGTTTTACATGCCTCTACCTTTTAATAGACAACAATTCTTAAAATTCTTACTAAAATAACTAGCTTTTATTTTAAAAAGACAGTTAATGAGGCCTTACACTTTCTTTAAAATTTAAACAGTAAGTTGTACAAGGCAGCGGTCGCCAATTGGTGGGCTGCAGCCCACCGGTGGGCCGTGGAAAATTTTTGGTGGGCCGCAGAAGAAATGGTCCCCAAAAGCAATTAATCTGGGCCACGCAGTTCTTGCATCTCCCGATTTTCCGAGGGACCCCGGAGTCAGGGCCCTGAGTTGCCTTAGTATGCTCGGTTAGTTAAGAATCGCCCTACCCAGAGAAGGAAGTGGTGCTGGAGGAGGAGGAGGAGGCAGTAGTGGAGAAGCAAGCAACTCAGGGCGTTACCACTGTGGCGGCTTTGCCTGTGTTTCTGAGGCTTCGATGTTGGGAGAGACAGCAAAGGCTGGAAAAGGGGAGAGCTGTGCAAGGCTCCAGCTCCCTTTCCTTTCCTGACTGCATGTGGATGGAGGGGAGGAAGGAGAGAGAGCCGGGAGCAATTCAAAGCTAGAAAACTAATGGGGAGAGCTGACAGCGGGTGCTGGGGGGGGGGGGACTGTTGCCACCGCCGTGTGTGGGAGTGTGCATCTCAGGGACCTGAGCCGGGAGGCACGGGAACTGCAAGTGGGAGCATTTGATGATTTCGAAGAACTCCTGGAACATGGTAGATTGGCGTTTTGTAGGTCTCAGTGAAAGAGTGAGCTTTGTTTAGTCTCCTTTCCTCCCCTGGTAATGTGAGAGATGCTTTCTCTCTCCCCGCCCCCAAATAATCACTGGCTGTGGCTGGGTTTGGCAGCGAAGTGCTAAAGCGAGTGAAGTGCCCCCAGGGACACCTTTCCTTGCCTGTCTCCAGGTGACGCTGGAAGAGACCCCCCAGCTTTTCCTCGGCTGCAGATCTGAGCCTCTCAATCCTCCACCCGGGATCTGAAAGGATCTCCCACTTTCTCCCCCTCCCCTCCCCCAATTAATCACCAAGAGCGGCAGTCCTCTGCAGGCAGATGCCTGCTGAGAAGCCCCTGGAGTGGCAGCCAAGGGGTTCTGCCCCCCAAGGAGAGCAAAGCCCCCTTTCTGCTTCTGTGTCTCCCAGCAGCAGTTGCCCCGAGGCCCCTCAGCTCAGACACACACACACACACACGCACACACACACAAACACACACACACTGCCCGCTCTTCTGTCTCTTTGGAAAGTGCCAGGTGGGGGGAGGCTTCCAGCCCAGAACGTTTTATTTTGTTATAATTAAGCATTTACATTTTTGTTATAATTAAGCAAGTAAGTTTGTGCGTGTATGTGTGTATGTATATGCATATATGTGTGTGTGTGTGTGTATGTATGTATGTATGTATGTATGTATGTATATAATATAATTTATATTTAACATTAAAAACATATATTAAATATATTATCTTTTTTAAAAAAATTCATATTAGTGGTCCTCAGGATTTAAAAGTATGAGTTTGGTGGTCCCTGAGATCCAAAAGGTTGGCGACCCCTGGTATAAGGTAATTAGTATGAATCACCTTCAGTTCTTTAAATGTTTCATCTAAATATCTGTATGCTGTTATAATCAGAGCAGAGTTATTGATTTGTCTATCTTTAAAGGTTAGCTCCAAATTTTCTATGGCGAATGATGGCTGTGTTGATTTATTTAACCTTACTGTGGAATTTTAACCCTTTTATCTTATTTTTGTGATCATTATTTTCAATGGCCAAGAATCTGGTGAGTGTGGCATGTGTAAATACTGTCACAGGACGTGTGACAAAAATGCCAAGATGGGACTTGCCAATCTTGATGAACTACTTAAAGCCTTGTTGGAGGATATAAAAATGTATAGGAATTCTTCTGGAACTCAAATGTAGCCTGGACAATTTAAAATTGGGTAGATACGCATGGACAAACAATTTTTGGTTCAGAATATAAAAAAATAAACCTGTACTTATTATATATACGAATCACTGGATGAAAAGAATAAGAAGCCTGGGAGATGCTTTCTGAATATAGCACTCTCAGTATATGTTTGCATCTTTCCAGGTAGCTTTTCTGATCCTTCGTTGCTTAGCAAAAAGTGTGTCTCATTGTGGCTGGCTCTTATATACTGGTTTCATATTGCTGTGGGGATTTCAGCAGAGTTCTATATAGGTGCTTACGGTGTTGGTCTTCTTTCATTCCCTCTCTTTGCCTCTGTATTCTAAAACAGCAAATGAGGGTAGCAGAAGATTTGTAACTCAGCCTACCAAAACACTTGGGATGCATTTGTTTATAGGACTGTGTTATTTATCAAAGAATTTGGCAGCTATTATATCAATATATAGCAACATATTTCTTTACCATCCCAATTTATATATAGGAGTACATAGCATCAGAGAGAATATTTGAGTATATATTTGTCTCAAATCCATGTCAAGAAGATGCTCAACTGATTCATATTTTATTTGCTGTGTTGGTGCAATGGTTAGAATGCAGTATTGCAGGCTACTTTTGCT